CCGATCGGTCCATAATTGATCATAGCTCCCATACAAGGTCCTCTCCCGAAAATCACTTAAACGCGCATAACTCATTACTAAATTAAGATATCCAAATAAAATTTGGTACAAGTATTGCCCATATGCATAGAAATATTACTGTGAAATTTTTTTCCGATCGGTCCATAATTGGACATAGCTCCCATACAAGACCCCCTCCCGAAAATCACTTAAACGCGCTTAACTCATAACTAAATTAAGATGTCCATATAAAATTTGGTACAAATATTACTCATATGCACAGAAATATTGTTGTGAAATTTTTTTCCGATCGGTCCATAATTGATCAAAGCTCCCATACAAGGTCCCCTCCCGAAAATCACTTAAACGCGCATAACTCATTACTAAATTAAGATATCCAAATAAAATTTGGTGTAAGTATTGCCCATATGCATAGAAACATTACTGTGAGAGTTTTTTCCGATCGGTCCATAATTGGTCATAGCTCCCATACAAGGTCCCCTCCCGAAAATCACATAAACGCGCATAACTCAGTACTAAATTAAGATATCCATATAAAATTTGGTATAAGTATTGCCCATATGCATAGAAATATTACTGTCAAATTTTTTTCCGATCGGTCCATAATTGGTCATAGCTCCCATACAATGTCCCCTCCCGAAAATCACTTAAACGCGCATAACTCATTACTAAATTCAGATATCCATATCAATATAAAATTTGGCACAAGTATTACTCATATGCACAGAAATATTACTGTGAAAATTTTTTTCGATCGGTCCATAATTGGTCATAGCTCCCATACAAGGTCCCCTCCCGAAAATCACTTAAACGCGCATAACTCATTACTAAATTCAGATATCCATATCAATATAAAATTTGGCACAAGTATTACTCATATGCACAGAAATATTACTGTGAAAATTTTTTTCGATCGGTCCATAATTGATCAAAGCTCCCATACAAGGTCCCCTCCCGAAAATCACTTAAACGCGCATAACTCATTACTAAATTAAGATATCCAAATAAAATTTGGTACAAGTATTGCCCATATGCATAGAAATATTACTGTGAAATTTTTTTCCGATCGGTCCATAATTGGACATAGCTCCCATACAAGACCCCCTCCCGAAAATCACTTAAACGCACATAACTCATTACTAAATTAAGATATCCATATAAAGTTTGGCAAAAATATTGCTCATATACAGAGAAATATTACTGTGAAATTGTTTTCCTATCGATCCATAATTGATCATAGCTCCCATACAAGGTCCCTTTCAGAAAAACACTTAAACGCGCATAACTCATTACCAAATAATGATATAAATAAATACTATTTTTGTTCATAAATACTATTTTGTAATGCAAAAAGCACTTAATGCTATTTCAAAAAATTTTTACGATCGGTCTATGTTTGGTCATATCTCTCATACTAGGTCCTGCCCCTAAAAGCGCTTTAACCGTATTTAACTATTTGCATTATCAATTTGTGTAGAACAAAATTGTATATATGTATGTATTTTTAAAATCCTTAAATCTTTCACACACATGCATACATGCAAATACGAGATATCGCTAAAGCATATCTTAGGGCGCTATAAAAATTTAAATAGTACTCTTACTTGTTTATTTAAAGTGGACAACAATAAATATAAACTACAGTAAATACAATTTGCAATATTTAAGAATAATCTATTTGTTCCCCTTTCCCCTTCACAAAAACAATCATTTAGGACAAAAAGTAGGCGGACTAGCATTAGGGGCGAGGTACCTCCCATATAAATTAAATACAAAAATTCGTTTATCTGGGAAACTAATAAAACTAAATTCTTAAAATTTAGCACGAAGAACTTTAACATCCATGTAAACATTTTGGGTAATAAATTGGCGGACTACCCATGAGGTGAGCGGCACCTCCCATATTAATTAAATACAAAAATTCGTTTATCTGGGAAACTAATAGAACTAAATTTTTAAAATTTTGCACAAAGAACTTTAACATCCATGTAAACATTTTGGGTAATAAATTGGCGGACTACCCATGAGGGGAGTGGCACCTCCCATATTAATTAAAAACAAAAATTCGTTTATCTGGGAAACTAATAGAACTAAATTCTTAAAATTTTGCACGAAGAACTTTAATATTCATCTGAATATTTTTAAGGAAAAAAGAGCGGACTTTCATCTGGGGGCCCATATGAATAAAATAGAAAAATTCGTATATCTGAGAAACTATTAGAGCTAGAATCTTTAAATTTTACTTGAAGAACTTTGACATTCATCTGAACATTTAGAGTATAACGGGCGGACTTCCAATGGGGTACTTGGTACCTCCCATATGAATTAAATACAAAATTTTGTTTGTTTGGGAAACTAATAGAACTAGATTCTTCAAATTTTGAACAAATTATTTTAATATTCATCTGAATATTTTGGAGGAAAAAGGGCGGACTTTCATTCGGGGAGCTTGAAGCCCCCACATGAATTAAATTCGTATATCTGAGAAACTTTTAGAGCTGGAATCTTCAAATTTTACATGAAGAACTTTGACATTCATGTGAACATTTAGAGAATAACGGGCGGACTTTCAATGGGGGGCTTGGCACCACATATATGAATTAAATACAAATTTTTCATAGATAGATAGAAATTGGCGAACTTGCAATAATTTGCTTGGCATCTCTCATATGTAACATATTGTTAATCTGGAAAACTATTATAGTTAGAATTTTCAAAATCGTTAAGTGGGTTTTTTATTTAATCAGTTTAAACGGCTAAACTGATTTTCTTGAAATTTTCACAATATCTTCCTGTATGTCTGGAAGGAGTTATAATTGCTTTTTATGTTGAAATTTCAAATGAGCGAGGTCCCACGTATAGAGTCCCCAAATTTTGTACAAGTAACTTTTGTTTAAATACAAATATTTTGGACAAAAATAGGGAGTTCAGCAAAAGCGGGCGTGCCACCTCCCATATGAAGTAAATACTAAAATCTAATTATTAAAATCTGTATATCTAGAAAACTATAACAACTAGAGTCCCCAATTTTGGTGCCTCTCACGTGAAGTAATTACAAAAAATTGTATGTTCTTATTAATTAATAATATTAGAAAAATCTACGTTTAGTGAGTTTGAAAATTATTATATCTTGAAATATGTAAGGTATAAAACCCTTATTACATCGGCACGATATAACAGCATGCGTGTTTAAACAGAAATTAAAATCTTTTATGGATTTTATTGCAAAATTTCATGTCTTTGGTGAAACACGGTGCTGGATGTATTCCGTTGAGTGGCAGAAACGTGGATTGCCACATGCCAACATTCTTATTTGGTTGGTTGAAAAAATTACCCCAGATCTTATTAATGATATAATTTCTGCAGAAATACCCGATCCAAATGTTGATCCAAATCTGCATGAAATTGTTATCAAAAATATGATCCATGGTCCATGTGGGGCCATTAATGCAAATTCTTCATGCATGGTTGATGGAAAATTCATAAAAAAATATCCAAGATAATTGATTCAGGAAACAATCTCGGGAAATGATGGCTACCCACTTTACTGCCGACGTTCTGTGGATAATGGTGGACGATCAATTTCAATAAAGGTACGTGGAAATGACGTTGATGGTGATAATCACTGGATAGTACCTTACTGTCCATTGCTTTCAAAAACATTTAAAGCGCATATTAATGTTGAGTATTGTCATTCAGTAAAGTAGATCAAATACATCTGCAAGTATGTTACTAAAGGGTCTGATATGGCTGTATTTTCATTACAAAATCCAAATGATGAAATTACGCAGTATCAAATGGCCAGGTACATTAGTAGCAATGAAGTAGTATGGCGAATTTTGGGATTTCCCATTCATGAGCGCCATCCAACTGTTGTTCATTTATCAGTGCATCTGGAAAATGGACAACGGGTTTACTTTACAGAAAGAAATGCGCGAGAGAGAGCAGCAGCACCACCGGCTACAACATTAACATCATTTTTTATCTCTGTAGAAATGATATGTTTGCTAAAACTTTGTTATATTCAGAAATTCCAACGTATTATACGTGGAATGCATCAACAAAGAAATTCCAACATCGAATGCAAGGGAAACCTGTTGATGGTTGGTCAAATTTATATTCAACAGATGCATTAGGTAGGGTTTATACCGTCCACCCTCAAAATGCTGAATGTTTTTATTTGAGAATGCTTCTAATTAATGTTCGAGGGCCAACATCTTTTGAGACATTACGTACTGTTAATGGCGTAGTATGCGCAACATATCATGAAGCCTGTCAGAAACTACAATTATTGGAGAACGATTGTCATTGGGAAACAACGCTTGGAGATGCAGCAGTAATCAACCATCCATGGAAAATAATTATATTATTTGCGATAATATTGGTATCGTGCTCACCATCTAATCCAAAAGATCTTTGGAATAAATTTAAAACATATATGGCTGAGGACATATTACACCGGGAAGAATTACCACCAACAATGCAACGCTTGAACTAAGTGAAAGTATGTATAATGAGGCATTAATTCTACTTGAAGACAAATGCTTGGCGATAAGGAACGTGACACTCATTGAAGTTGGAATGATTGCTTCTATTCGGTCAGGAAATGATACACACGATCAAGATATACGACGAGAGATGGAATATAATCATCAAAATTTGGAAATTTTACTGGAAGAAAATTTACCAAATTTACAACAAGAGCAGAGAATGGTATACAACAGTATAATAGCAGCAATAACAAACAAACATGGAGGTCTGTATTTCATTGACGCACCTGGAGGAACCGGAAAAACGTTTTTAATTTCATTGATATTGGCAAAAGTTCGATCGCAAAAAATATTGCATTAGCTATCGCGTCATCCGGCATTGCTGCCACACTCTTAGATGGTGGTAGAACAGCGCATTCTGCACTAAAATTACCCTTGAAGCCTCAATTTTCCGAAGATTACACGTGTAACATAAAGAAAAATTCTTCTATGGGCAAAGTATTGCAACAATGTCAAATCATAGTGTGGGATGAATGCACCATGGTGCATAAGAAATCTTTGGAAGCCCTTGATCGCACTTTACGGGATTTAAGAAGCAATAATAAAATATTTGGAGGTGTATTAGTTTTATTAGCTGGTGATTTTCGTCAAACACTTCCTGTTATACCGGGATCAACACCAGCTGATGAGCTAAATGCATGTCTAAAATCATCATACCTTTGGCGACATGTTCACACTCTAAAATTAACTACAAATATGCGTGTTCAGTTGCAACATGATGCTTCAGCTTCAACTTTTTCCAAACAATTGCTTGATTTAGGTAATGGAAGAATTCCAATGGATCCTAAAACAAAGTATATAAAATTTCCATCAGACTTTTGCAGAATGACACAATCCAAAGAAGAATTAATAAACTGTGTATTTCCCAATATCGTGCAAAATTTTAAAAATATGCAATGGTTATGTGAACGTGCGTTACTGGCATCCAAAAATATTGACGTTAATTCCATCAACAGCAATATCCTCAACAAGATCGATGGGAATCTAAGAACTTATAAATCGATCGACACAGTTTCAAATATTGAGGATGTCGTCAATTATCCAGTCGAATTTTTAAATTCGTTAGATTTACCCGGCTTTCCACCACATGACTTACAGTTAAAAAACGGTGTTCCCATTATTTTACTTAGGAATATTGATCCTCCACGACTTTGTAATGGCACTCGACTAATAGTAAAAAAAATTATGAACAATCTTATCGAGGCGACCATTATAACTGGAAAGTTTAAGGGAACTGATGTTGTTTAAGTTCGTTTTTTTTTGTACGTGTATTTACGTTTTTTTTTGATTCTTTGATACTTGTTAGGATTTAGTACATTCCCTTTTTTACACCCTTGGGTGGGGATATTTTTCTAAATTCTAACGAGTAAAACCGCTAACGGTATCGGCTTAAATATTGTTCGCCACTTTCTGCCATTAAAATATATTATTATCTTCCTAATCGCTGTCGTATACGTTTCGTATAACCCAAACACAAGGTAATATTTAATAAAGATTTTTATTTAAACAAAATTTTAAAAACACTTTTCGTTTTATTTTCACGCACGAACATTTTGGTCCAATCGAGCCGGATTTAATTTGCCGCTTTCAAGTACACCACAAATTAATTGGTATTCTTTTTGTTTTTATTTGTTTCAACACAAGATCGCCATATTTATTTGGACATTTTGCCAAACAACAACAGGAATTGTAATTTTTTTTGGAACATAAAAACAATTAATAAGGTGCGTACTTGATTTTAAAAAAAGTGCAGTGAAAAAATTTAAAGAATAAAAGTGTGCAATTTTTATTTTGTTTATATTTAAATAAAAGTGTGTAAATAAACACACATACATATACACATATACAAAAATATATTACTTGTGTTTTTTGTAGTTGGTCGCTTTGCCAACCCCAATTTAATTTGACACTTGTTTTAATCTCGTTTATTACTACGTAAATTATCAACTGCGCGTTTGTTTACGTGGACGGACAAAATTATAGAAAAGAAAATAAATTATTTTAAAGAATTTGCTCATTTATAACTAAAATAAAATATTCTCGCGTCGTGAACTGAAAGAAAATAAATTAAATTAATAAAATTGATTGTGGCTTATTGAATAAAAAACAATTTGGTGTAATAGAAGTGTGTTTTTTTGTTGTGCTTTGAGTAAATACATAAGCTTAAGTATTTACTTCTTTCTTCTTCTTCATTCTTAAGTGGTCACCCTACGGTCGGTCAGTTTGACTATCATATTGTTCAATTAAATTTGAAAAAATTAATTTTCGTTTAATTTTGACCAAATTTAGTAGAAATAATTCAAATTTAATTTATTAAATATTTTTTTTGATATCATCAATAAAAATTTTGATTTTTTATAAAAGTTTCATACTTTTAGTCAATAATAAATTAAATTTTGTGTTTTAAACTTTCGATTTGAATAGAAGAAAAGGCAAACCATGTCTATTACACCACTTGATCGCTTTATTAGAGCTTCGGATTCGGTTATTAGTTTTGAGGCACAGTTTAGAGCTCGTGAAGACACACTTGACGGACTCAAAATTGATTACTATAAAGAGAATTTGAACAAATTGTGGGAAGCGGCTCAGTCGTCTTATGACTTATGTTTAGATTTCTTGACAACTTCTGAGGACACTGAACCTGGTGAGATTGAGGTGTCTGCCGCGAAATTCCAAGCAACTTTTGATGCGTTTGTAGAATGTGCTTGTAGCCTAGATAGGAAAAAACTTCAATTCTCTCCCGTTAGTAAATCTACTGATACGCCAGTAAAGAATCCGAAACCTTGTGACGGTCAACATAATTTGACTTTACCACCCTGCGACGTAGAAATGTTTGAAGGCGATTACCTTTCATGGCCCGCCTTTCGGGATCTGTTTACAGCCTTATATATAAATAGCTCACGTCTTACTGACATTGAAAGGTTATGTCACTTGCTACGTAAGACTAGTGGCGACGCAAAGAAAATTGTGTCACAATGTCCGCTTTCAGATAAAGGGTTTCAAATGGCTTGGCAAGAATTAAAGGCAGCATATGAGAATCCGCGTATGTTGGTTAATAACCAATTAAAAGCGCTTTTTAGTCTTCCAGTCTTGGAAAAAGAGTCTTTCACAGGCCTCAAAGATTTACAAGGAGGCATTAATAGTTGTTTGAAAGCGTTGTCGGAGTATGAAGTGCCGACAGAAAATTGGGATCCCATTCTTGTCTTTTTATGCGTGCAGCGTATTCCTGATTGCACTGTGACCTTATGGGAACAGAGCATTAAGAATAAATTTGCTTTATCACGCTGGAAAGATATGAATGCTTTTCTTACGGAAAGGATCCAAACTTTAGAATGTCTTCGTGATATTCGAGAAACGCCTCAGACAAAGAAGTCTACGACACAAAAGGTAAAGACTCATCATGCTCAACCGGCATCCAATTCTCATATTTGTGTTCTATGTAAGCATCAAAGCCATTTTCTGCGTGATTGCAAGCGTTTTAAAAATCTTTCAGTTTCGGAAAGATATTCTACGATTAGGAAACATCATTGTTGTCTTAATTGCTTATCACGAACACATGAGGTTAAGAACTGTACAAGTGCTCATAGCTGTTCAGTATGCAAGAAAAGACATAATACCTTGCTCCATAGAAATTCTTCATCATCGGATGAAGCGAATGCTAGTTCCAATACAGTCACGAGTTCTGTTGTGGCTACGCCACCCACTCACTCTAGGTCTGTAGAATCTTCAGCACCTACTTCCAACAACAATAATGCAGGTCCTTCTAATCGACAAGTGTTCCACGTGTCTGATAATCGGACTGTACTTTTAGGGACTGCTATGGTGAATATACGTCACCAAGGTATGACATACCCGGCTCGAGCCCTTATTGACCCTGGTTCTGAAACATCGTTTATTTCGGAACGTTTGCAGAATCAGTTAAAGATTACGGCGCATTTGACAAATGCCCAAGTTTCTGGTGTTAACCAGACTGTTACTGCTACTTCTACCAAACTGTGCTCGATCGAAATAGCATCTCCCTTGGACACTTCGATTATTTTGCGGACTAATGCTCTTGTTATACCGAATATTTCAGGTATCTTACCATCTTTTGTCTTATCAGATAAACTTTGTAGGGATTTACCAAATCTTCCACTAGCTGATTCTCAGTTTTTCAAATCCAGACCGGTTGATCTGCTCTTAGGTGCCGATTTATATCCCCAAATTATGTTAGGAGAAATTCGTACGCATATTTTAGGATCGCTATTAGCTCAGAACACAATATTCGGATGGATTATCACGGGTCCAGTGCCATCCTCTTCTGTACAGGTATTTAACACTAGGGTTGACTTTTCGGAAGAGGACAATTTAAACAGTAGTTTACTTCGTTTTTGGGAACTGGAGGAAGCGCCGAAAAGAAAAATTATGTCCCCCCTTGATCGGATGTGTGAGGAAAATTACAAGGCCACAACTCGTAGAGGACCTGATGGACGATATATTGTCACACTTCCTTTTAAATCTGATTTTCCCGAAAAGCTGTCGTTAGGTTCTTCAAAACAGAATGTTAGGGCGCAATTTTTGAGGACAGAAGCTTCCTTGTTGAGAAAACCAGAAATAAAGAAAATGTATGACGATGTAGTAAGAGAATATTTAGTTTTGGATCACATGAGGCCAATAATGGAGACCTCGTCTTCTATTTCCTCTTGTTATTTGCCGCACCATCCTGTGATCAAATTGGATCGAAAAACTACTAAGTTGAGGGTAGTCTTTAATGCGTCAAATAAAACCTCAAATGGACTTAGTTTAAATGATTGTTTGTTGGTCGGTCCTACCCTTCAAGCTGATTTAGTCCTACTTATTTTGCGTTGGCGATTTTTTAGATTCGTGTTTAATTGCGATATTACTCAAATGTATCGACAGATAAGGCTTGACCAGTCTCATACTCCTTTTCAGCGTATTTTGTTTCGCGATTCTCCGACGGAGGAAATAAAGCAGTATGAATTACAGACTGTGACCTTTGGCGTCAATTGTGCGCCTTATCTGGCCATCCGTAGTTTGTTACAGTTGGCAGATGATTGTGAGAGTCAATATCCACTTGCCTCGCAAATTTTACGTAAAGGTATGTACGTTGACGACGTACTTACGGGGACACATGATGTTGAAACCGCTTTGGTTGCTCGTGATCAACTTAAAGCGGCATTATCATCAGCAGGGTTTAATCTTCGAAAATGGAGTTCGAATAATAAGACAATTTTAGCAGGTTTCCCCCCAGAACATTTGGTAGATGAAAAACTTTTAGTTTTTGTCGAAGCAAGTAGTTCGAAAACGCTGGGACTCCAATGGAATGCTCATTTGGACGCGTTCTATTTTAACGTGGATCCCATAGCATGGCGTTCAAAATATACTAAGCGGGAAGTTTTATCCACAATAGCTAAATTATTTGATCCAGTAGGTTGGTTAGGTCCTGTTATAGTAGTGGCAAAAATGATAATGCAGAGAATTTGGCAGGATCAGATAAATTGGGATGAGAATCTTAAAGTTTCAACGCTGGCCGAATGGGAGAAATTTGTGACTTCATATCATGAAGTCAATAGTATCCAAATTCCTCGATGGGTTCATTATGAACCAGAATCCTCAGTGGAACTTCATGTTTTTTCTGATGCCTCGGAAAAAGCATATGCGGGGGTGATATATGTTCGAGTGGAAACACCTAGAGGGAAAATTTATTCACATTTGCTCACATGCAAGACGAAAGTGGCCCCGATTAAATCGGTTACTTTACCTCGTCTAGAACTTTGTGGCGCTGTATTAGCGGCAGATCTTTTGAAGGCTGTGCTTTGTGAAATCGACATTCCATTAAACCAGGTTTATTGTTGGACTGATTCCACGATCGTCCTTTCCTGGTTGAAAAAAGACCCCTGTACTTGGGCAACATTTGTTGCAAATAGAGTTTGCAAAATACAAGAAATTGTTGGCAAACATAACTGGCATCACGTCAGATCTGAGGACAATCCAGCAGATTTAGGAAGTAGGGGAGTTACCCCTTCAATTTTAGCTCAGAGCTCTCTTTGGTGGAATGGTCCACATTGGCTTAGAGAGAAAAAGTCTACTTGGAATTTGAAAAGCCTAGGTATGCTTGATACCGATCTTGAAGCTCGAAATGTGAAATCTCACGCCTCTTTTTTTGCAAACTATGAGGATGTGTTGGATAGATTTTCGTCACTTGATCGTGCTATCAGAGTTCTATCTTACGTTTTTAGATTTTTCCATAGAACCCATTCGTCTTATAGGAATCGCTATTCGTATGATACAATTACGCTATCTGATAATGAAATAAGACATGTGAAACTACGTTTGGCCATTGTGGCTCAAAAGGTCAAATTTGCGGAAGAATACAAGAGTCTACTGGAAAAAAGACCAATTTCTTCTAAAAGTAGCCTGTTGCCCTTAAATCCTATTCTGGACAATGAAGGTGTCATGAGACTTAACGGTCGATTGGCTAGATCGCCTTCATTAGCTTACACTGAAAGGCATCCTATTTTATTGCCATATTCATGTCGTTTCACTCTTCTTTTAGCGGAATTTATTCATAAGATTTCCATCCATGGTGGAAATCAGCTTATGCTACGGATAATACGGATCGAATATTGGATTCCTCGTGCAAAGACCCTTGTTCGGACTGTTGTAAATAGGTGTAAACGATGTATCTTAGATCGTAAACGCGCTTGCACTCAAATTATGGCTGCCTTACCTCCAGAACGAACTGATTTAGATCGACCGTTTACAACAACTGGAGTGGATTTCGCTGGCCCATTTGATATGAGAAATTTAAATGGTAGATCGTGTCAGATCTTAAAGGCGTATGTATGTATCTTTGTATGCTTTTCCACGAAAGCCATACATCTAGAAGTAACTTCGGATTTATCAACGGATAAATTCTTAGCGGCTTTTAATCGCTTTATATCAAGACGCGGTTGTCCACTTACCATCTTTTCGGATAACGGGACGAATTTTGTAGGAGCTTCTCGAGAGTTAGAACGAGAGTTTAAAACATTTTTATCAGAATGTAGAGCTAGGATGTGTACGACGTACGGCATCAACGGCCTTTCTTGGCGTTTTATTCCAGCTGGAGCACCTCATATGGGTGGTTTATGGGAAGCGGGAGTCCGAAGTTTTAAACTTCACTTCCGTAAAGAAGCCCATTCCGGCAAATACACTTTTGAAGAACTTTCGACGGTCCTCGCTAGAATTGAGGCATGTCTAAACTCTCGACCTCTCAGTCCTATGAGTGACGATCCTAATGACATAGTGGCTCTTACACCAGGCCATTTCCTAATAGGGTCTCCAATATTAGCTCCACCTGAACCTTCGATTTATCAATCTCCGCTTAGTCTTCTAAATCGGTATAGAAAAGTAAAGGCTTTGACTCAGCACTTCTGTCGTCGATGGAAGGAAGAATACTTGTCAGGGCTTCACAAACGTTACAAGTGGAAGTATCCGGAACGCGATATAATAACCGGAGATTTAGTAGTTATTCGAAATGAGAAAATGACACCCACTTCATGGAAAATGGGAAGAGTAGTTCGGACTTATCCAGGAAGTGACAATCACGTACGCGTCGCGGACATACGTACCGAAAACGGGGTTATAAAGCGACCAATTACCAAACTGGTCGTTTTGACCAGTGAATCTTTTTAATGAATATTTGTTAACCTTCATTGTTTCCTAGTACTATGGAACGCATTATGGCCATGTCCGAAGCTGATCTCCTTGAGGAGTATGGTGAGGCAATGGAGGTTGACACCGCAGCAGCCACGAATCAACCGGGTTCTACCGACAAGTCCGACGATGGCGCCACCAGTATCGCCGCCGTGGAAAACCCACCAGTCTCCGTGGTCCCTGCACCAGAGGTCCCAATGACCTCCAACGAAAACTCCACTGCACCTGCAGTGGTTTCAGCTCGAGAGGTACCTTTGACCTCACCTGAGCAACTGTCTGCCCCTATGGCAGTACCGGCTCTAGAAGCCGAAACTACGCAAAATCCTGATCCCGTATCAGGTGCCACGGAAGCCTCAGGTTCGAATCCGGTCGCGAATTCAATAAGCGAACAACAAAATTGCCCTCTTTGTAAGCGACGTCATCGACTATCGGGTTGTCGAAAGTTTCAAAATATGTCTTTCGAGAGGAGAATTAGGATGGTGTTATTGCACCATTGTTGCTCTCGGTGCCTATCAGCGGAACACATCTCTCGTGATTGTACGAGTGAAGGCCGTTGTAAAAAATGTAAAGGAAAGCACCATTCTATGCTCCACTCGAAGAATCACGTCGCCGCCAAATCTAAAAAACGCGCTCGAAACGAAGCTACCCGACCAGACGCCCCCGTTAACTCTTCGCCGTTGCCGTTGCTTCATGTCGTGACATTCTCACCAACAGCAACCGTTTTGTTGCTTGGCTCAAAAAAGAGCATTCGGGTACGGGCAGCTTTAGACCTTTGCTGCAGTATGAGCTATATTTGCTCCTCCTTAGTTGCAAATCTAAAACTGCCCGTGACCACTGTTGGTGCAGACCAAATATGTCGAGTGAACATTTGTTCACAATATGACCCGACGCAACAAATAACGTTTACCGTTAAAGTAAAGAAAATGCAAGGCATTAAAACACCATTGCAAACAGTATCGGATTCGGTTAAAATTCATTTTGAGGGACTGCAATTGGCAGACCCTAGTTTTAATGTCTCTGGCAAAGTCGCACTTGTCATTGGTCCGGAAATTGCTCCGCAAGTTTTAAAAGGGAAAATTTATTCGAACCCGGGACTTCCGATGGCTCAATACACCATTTTTGGTTGGGTCATTTCTGGCCAAGCCTCTCTTTAAGAGGCCCAGTTCATGGTCTGATTTAAAACCATTCTCCCATGAGAGCAGTATGTAGTCTGCGTAAAACTACATCCCATAGACTTTGTTCTATGGGAACATCTTTACCAGCTGGTCTGGTTTTTGGTCCTATGACCAATTTGTTGTTTGAAAAAATGAATTAAATAAATAAATGAAAAAAAAAAAAAAAAAAAAAACCTATTACTTTAAGCTCTTTATTCTTTATTAGATTTTACCTCTTAAGTTTATATTATGGTTGCAACGTCCTTTGTTGTTGCAAGGTGGCCGGCAATGTTTAAGTTCGTTTTTTTTTGTACGTGTATTTACGTTTTTTTTTGATTCTTTGATACTTGTTAGGATTTAGTACATTCCCTTTTTTACACCCTTGGGTGGGGATATTTTTCTAAATTCTAACGAGTAAAACCGCTAACGGTATCGGCTTAAATATTGTTCGCCACTTTCTGCCATTAAAATATATTATTATCTTCCTAATCGCTGTCGTATACGTTTCGTATAACCCAAACACAAGGTAATATTTAATAAAGATTTTTATTTAAACAAAATTTTAAAAACACTTTTCGTTTTATTTTCACGCACGAACAGATGTATTGCTGCCACGTATTCCTATGACCACATCGAGATGCCATTCGATTTTAAGCGCCTGCAATTTCCTATTCGCCTAGCATTTGCAATGACGATTAATAAAGCTCAAGGTCAGTCCTTGCAAGTTTGTGGACTTAATCTAGAAAATCCATGTTTTTCACATGGGCAGCTTTACGTCGCATGTTCAAGAGTAGGAAAACCCTCAGATTTATATGTATACGCACCAGAGGGAAAAACAAAAAATATTCTGTATCCCAAGGCATTAGAATAAGAATTATTTTTTAAGAATAAAAAAATATATTAAATTTTAGTAAGTAAGAAATAAATAGCTCATTAATGTATTATTTTAGAATTTAAATGAAATATATTGTCACCAAATGAAATTACAATAAATCTTTAAGAAAAATTACATAATTTAATAAATTATAAATAAATAAATTTTTTAATTAATTTAATTTCGATTGGGGTAGCGAAGCACACCGGGTATAAGCTAGTAATGATATAAACGGGAAAATGAAATAAATTAAAATTTTATAGAATTGATATTTTTAAATACACTGTGGTGAAGGGTATATAAGATTCGGCATAGCCGAATATAGCACTCTTTACTCCGACGTTGTTGGTAGTGTCGGAAAATCGAAAGGCAGGTAAACAGATGCAAGGTATATGATGTGGGCCACGACCTTGCTTCAGCACCGTTGCATCCGATGTGGATAATCCTGTGGAGAGGAGAAAACATAAGTTCTTATGACATAAGATACATGTTCTCGGTCGAGACCCTGTATCAGCGAGAAAAGTTGGAAATTTACGTGATTTAATCCAGAAACCTTGTTGCGAATCGTCCAAGGTTCCTGCATTAACCCATTAGATTCCAACCATCTTAAAATCAATAAATTAAATTTTTGGTTGCAAAATATATCTTATTATGAGTTAATTTAAAATAAAATTTAAAAACAAAAAATTTTTAAATTTTGGAAATGCGATTTTTGGGCTGTACTCGGATGGGTACAGCGGGACAATATGGGTATATATGACATAAACATCCTTAAGAGATATATGAAAAAATAAGCATGGGTAGTAGGGTGGGTCGAAAAAAAAGTTGAGTCAGTCACCCCCTACGATTAAAGATACGTTAATAACATTTCCAAAAATATAAAAAATATTTTTTTGCCACGCCTAGAAATACCGCCCTTTTTGTTTTTTATATATTACGCCGCCATTTTAAGTCCGATCGTAACATATCATATATCAATATTTATGGCTTGGCTTTAGCTATATTTCACTCTTAGACAATTTTTTATTTCGAAGTCATATTCTTTGCGCGACTTCTGATATCTCGGATCCTTCCCCAAAATATTAAATTCTGGCTATACTGGAATAAAGTACATTTAATTTCATAAAATATAGGCTTTTAAAATGCTCACTTTTATGCATAAGCTATTTTACAGGTATTTAAAAATACCTGTATAGTTCAAACTACAAACAATTAATTTGCTAGGGATATGGTCAAAAACATTTTTTTTTTTCAAATTAATTTACAATACAAAAATTGCATCCTACCCCTATCTTAAGAAAAGAAAGATAATTTTATTCAGCATTTAATTCTATTAATTAATAACAAAATCACGTACGTACATAAAAATTAAACATTTTATTTTATAAAAATCGATGAAAAATTAAAGTGTTATGCTAAGTTTTACAAAAATGTTTTTCATGTTTTTTCCATACAACATGTTTCTTTTTTTTAATTTTTACAAATTTTTATACTGATTTTTATAAAATGTGATAAATTTATTTTATGATTCTTTTAAATAGTTACATATTTTTAACGAAGTTCTTTAAATAATAAAAACTAATAAAAAACGAATAATCGGGAATGGCCGACCATATGATACCAGATATGAGCATAACTAAAATATGATTTATTTTTTAATATAGCATTTATATTGAATTTTGTCTTAATTTTCATAACGTCACCTGAAACGCAAACGGCCCTAACTAACCAAAAATTAAAAATCGATTTTATTGTTGATTGTAATGTATTGCATCAAAACATATGTCCTCACAAAAAATTGGACTCCTCTAACCAAAATTAGCGATTTCATTGACAAAAAACAAAAGGCCCTATCTACAAAAACATTTAAATATTAAAGGTAAAAAGTAGAATTTATCCATTTTTATATACGCCATTATCAACTACCATAATAACTAATAGGTTTCACTATTAAACAATTTGTTTATTCACTACAAATAAATCGAGTTGATAGCAACAAACTTTTCAATTTCAATAGCTTTTTGCTTCTCCTGTAAAATTTTAAAAATGTTAGATGGGGCCGTTTGCGTTTTAAGTGACGATATACTATTTGAGAAACTTATTGATGAAAAACTGATTTTCTGAAAGAGACCGATCCTATAAAAATTTGGTGGAGGGTTTTATGTTCTTATAAGAGATAGATATGCAGAATTTCATTCTAATTGTACTGTTTAAGAGGGAATTAACGACCTTGAAGCCATTATTAAGAGCTCCAAAGCCCTATTCGGGTAGTACGGTTGTATGAGGGCTAAGGGTATAATGGACCGATTTAATCCATTTTCAAACAACTTCGTCCTTGGGTAAAATTAAATATATCAGCCTATTTGCATCGAATTATCTGGAAAATTCCGACTTGTATTTTGATTACAAGTCGGATGGACAAAGCTAAACTACTATAGTGCTGTGGGATATAATAAACTTTCCTCTTTTTTGATAGGAAGTAGGATCTGGAAGGGTTTGTAACTGAAAAAATAACAGTTTTATAATTATAATTTCTTATAATTTCTGGCAAATTAATTATTTGTTGTGAGAACGGTTGATAATGAATATATGAACATTTTTAAATATCTATAAAATAGCTGTTTATGCATAAAAGTGAGCATATAAAAAGGATCCGAGATATCAGAAGCCGGGCATAGAATGTTACGTCTAATTTAAAAATCGTCTAAGGGTGAAATGTAGCTACAGCCAAGCCATAAATATTGATATATGATATGTTACGATCGGAATGGCGGCGTAATATATAAAAAATAAAAAGGGCGGTATTTCTAGGCGTGGCAAAAAAATAATTTTTATATTTTTGGAAATGTTATTAACATATCTTTAATCCTAGGGGGTGACTGACACAACTTTTTTTGTCCATAGAGACCGACCCACTCTAATGGGTAGTCCCATTGTACCCAAGCGAGTAC